ACTAAGGAGGGCACTGGGGATGAGCACTGGGTGTTGTATGGAAGTGATGAATCACTGAAGTCTATTCCTGTGACTAATATTGCACTGTATGTTAACTAAAATTTAAATTGAAGAAAAAAAAATTTTTCCTTCTTAGGACTTTCCCTCTTAGGCCCAGCTGCCACACTGTGAGAATCCCAAGCTCCATGGAACAACCACATGTAAGAGTTCTGATGGATAGCCCCAGCTGAGTTCAAAACCATCAGAGGACATAACTACTAGCCATGGGAGTGAGCCATGTGAGACGTCTAGCTCAGTTTAGCCCTCAAATGATTCAGCCCAGCCACCATCTGAGTGGACCTACACAAGAGGCCACAGAGGCCCAGCTGAGCCACCCAGTCATCCCCAAACCATGAGAACTGATTTAAAAAAAAAAAAAAATCATTTAAGACATGAAGTTTTGGGATAGTATGTTACCAGCAAAAGGTAACTGGAACAGGATTTGTTCAAGATTACCAGGTTAGTAAATGACCCGGCAGAGCAAAGATTCAAACCCAGGCCACCTGGCTCCAGAGATTATTACGTTGTCTTGTTTCTCACGAAAACTGTAATTTCTACTGTAGAGGCCAGAAGAAAGGAAGAAAAAAATGTCAGGCTCTAGTGATAGTTGGACTTACACGTAAGTATATGTAAAAAACCTGCTCAGATTCCCACAAACACTGGGGCCAGACATCATAAGCAGGCTGGTATCTTGTGTTACTAAGTGGAGACAACAACCAGTTAAAACATGAGTTACGAGCTCAGGGCCAGGCCGAAACTTACCTGTCGCTGCACAAACACGGTCATCAACTTCTTTGCTAGTTCAAATGGAGATTCTTCACCAGGAAGGGAGTTACTCATGGCAGACCCCACATCCATACAGAGCACAATAGCTGCCTAGAAACAAAGTTCCAAAGAGTGAGAAAATGTTAATGGTCATAAAAAAAGAAAACAGATATGTCCTTTTCTTATTTCACCCACAGAACCTGTACTTTAGGGAACTTAGGGGACGCATGGCAAAGCGGGGGGGGGGGGGTGTTCCGCCTAGTGTATGTAAGACATGTAAATGGTTTACTACAGAGAAACTTTACTTTTGTTTTTTTTTTTTAATGTTTATTTTTGAGAGAGAGAGAGACAGAGCATGAGCAGAGGAGGGGGAGAGAGACAGACAGAGATACAGAATCTGAAGTAGGATCCAGGCTCTGAGCTATTAGCACAGAGCAAGGCTTGAACTCACAGACCATGAGATCATGACCTGAGCTGAAATCAGATGCCCAACTGATGAGCTACCCAGGCTCCCCACTACAGAGAAACTTTAAAATTGCCCTAATATTTTCTAAAAGATAGAAAGCAAGTGGGGCACCTGGCTAGTTCAGTCAGTAGATCACACGACTTCTAATCTAGGGGTCATGAGTTCAAGCCCCACATTGGGTATGGAGCCTATTTAGAAAGCCAGGGGGCACATGGCTGGCTCAGTTGGTTAAACGTCCAATTTTTCATCTCAGCTCAAGTCTTGACCTCAGGGTTGTGAGTTCAAGTCCCATATTGGGCTCCACACTGGGTATGGAGCCTATATAAAAAAAAAAAAAAAAAAAAAAAAAAGATAGAAAGCCAGGATAGGAGCATGCTCCAGGAAGCTGCTGCTCCTTTGGCCTGAGCCCAAGAATAAACTCATGGGAAGCAAATCTGAAAACCCATAGGCCAGAGCTAAATCCAGCCCATCTGAGCCCAAAATACATCAGACATACTGCAGCTGATTTGTAGAACCACAAGCATGAGAACAGAGAACAGATGCTTATTCTGTAAGTTACTGATTTGGGGATAGCTTGTTATGAAGCATTTTTGTGGCAACAGGAGACTGCTACAATCTTTATGTACTAAAATGATACACCCCAGCAATTTAAATCAGTTTGGGAACTGGGGATCTAGAATGAAGACTAAGACACCAAATCTATTCTGGTAGGGGACATAGACACATAAACAAATAATACCAGCACAATATTCCATGACAGAAGTGGGCAGTGGGCACTAAAAAAATACACAGGAGGATCATCTATCCAAGACTGGTAGAAGGGATAGAGGAGGAGTAAGGAGGCAGAAGAGGTTTCTGGATGTGGTTTTTGGGTGAGTCTTAAAGAATGTTTAGGAGTTAATCATGTGAATAAGGAGAGTTACAGGTAGAGGAACCACATAAATAAAGACACCTAGTCATTAGATAGCAATCACATACATAGAGGACTAAGGAAATAGGGGAAATAAACTAAAATAAAATGGTTACATGTAAAGTTCTATGTCTGACATCCAGAATTCAACTGAATATGAGCTGAAAGAGATCGGAACAAATAGCAACTCACAATTTCAGTGTGGATTATACAAATGAGTCACCAAAATGACATGGCTACAGCACTACAACTCCCACACCTATCTCATTCCATCCTCCAAAATATTTCAGGTTGTATCAACAGTGTACTGAATTCAAAGAAGGAAAACAAAGTTCTTCTGGTGAAAAAAGACTAGATTAGCAAACCGGAGAGCATCAGGTCCCACCTTCATTACAAATTAGCTCTGAGTCCTTGGGAACGTCACATAAAACCTCACTGTTAATTCAGAGGCAGGAAGCAGTTGTTGAACTAGATGAGATCCAAGGCCTTTTCCAGAGTTAACAATCTTTGGCAATGACAGCCTCACCTGTGCTTTGTACTGATCAGACCACATTTGACAAACTGTGAGCTGTCCTGAGCACCCTATCTCAGGAGAAATACTAATTACAACAGAACATGAAATAAGCAGATTAGAGAAGGATCTAGAGAAAATGTGATATGAGGAACCGTTTGAAAAAACTAGATATCTGAGCCAGATGAGAAGATTTAGGAGAACATGATAGTTCCGCCCAAATATTTGGCACCTGTGTTATAAAAGAATTGGCCAGAATGAGCAAGAATGAGATCAACATGTGGAAGTTACAGGAAGACTGGTTTGACTCTATGAAAAGAGGAAAAATAACATTAAGAAGTGATCAATAAAAGAACCACTGTTTTCTGAAGCAGTGATCTCCTGATCCTAGGAGTGTCAGAAAAATCTAGATGAGTTCCTATCAGAGAAGTTACAGATGATTTCTAAGTTTGGTTATATCTCAGGCAACACGTGGAAACTTAAGTTTTTCCCTAGTTTAAAAAGCACTGAACATAAATGCACTAATATGAAGAGATTTCTAGAGTAAAGACAGTACATTTGAAGAAAGGTTGGTAATAAATTACAAACTTCCCTTGAGAACAACAAAATTTACACCCCATAGTTTCAATGCCCTGATTATAAGAATCTTTAAAAAATTTAAGAGTCCCAAAATATGTTGCTGCATTTATCTAATACACATTCATAAAAGCTATTTTTAAACCAGAAAACTCTAAGTTAGAGGACTAAAAATCTTTTAGTAGGAATCAAGTATCCAAAAAAATGGCATCAAGGGGCTTCAAAATATGCAACTTCTTTCTGGAACCAAAAGAATGGTCTCTGTAACACTTCCAACTTCCTTTCTGGCAAGGAATAAGAAAACCAGGGAAGGGAAACTGAGCAACATAGTAACTCTTCATTAACACACGGAAACAATACAGACTGAGAACTTTGCTACAAGTCCACCTGCCATAAACAGTTGCTCCACTAGAGCTGGAGTATTTTCAGCAGCTGAAAGGGGAGGAACAAAAAGGTAAGTGGCATCGAATGTTCATAATCGCTTTAATCCACATTTCCCAATGGGGACTTGAGGGGACTAGGGATTGTTGTTGAAATTCCTATCTTGTTTATCTGTATACGGGATGCCTAGTAAAGGGCCTAGCCTTTGGATGGTTGGATGGACGAACAAACAATTCCCTGGAACACATCTCCCTCTAGTGATCATTCAGAGACAACCACCACTCTCTGCCTATATTGAAAAAAGTCATTTAAAAATTCCATCATAATGTCTATTATTAATGTGGGACACTGAGGGTCACAGGCTCCTAGCAACACAGATAGGGCTCTGAAACCTGACAGCTGGGGTCACGTATAAATTCCACCTCTTACGGACTGGATAACCTTGGGCTAATCATTTCACTTTCTTTATGCCCCAGTTTTCTCAACTGTAAACTGGGAGTAACAGTTCTCACCTCATGGGTTTGTTGTGGAGATTACATGGGATGAGAATAAAGCATTTACATCAGTGCCTTACAAGGTAAATTTTCTATAAATGTGAAAGATTGTTACAGAGGTAATAACATGGCGCTTTACGTCTTAAGTTACGCATTTTACTCACAGACCCTCTCTGAACTTCTCCAAGTCTGTGGGTAGGTGCTTATCAAACCTTTCATTCTCGTATAGATTTTATAAAAACTAAGGCTCAGAAATGGAGGAGTTGGAAGAAGTGATGGAGGAGAAGAGGTTGGACTAAGAAAGAAAGAGGGTGGGGAAGAGGTGGGACAAGGAGGTAATGAGGAGGAAGTCAGAGGATGGGAGGGCCGAGGAGGCGGAGTGAGGGGGGAGTAGACGAGGCTCAAATTCAGGTCTTCTGACTCCAAATCCCGTTTTTCTTAGCGCAGCCTTCGGGCCGGCCCTCGGGATCCGGCCACGGGCCGCCGCGATCACCTCTTCTTTCCCCCATCCTTGGTACCGCGATGATCCCATGATTCCTGCTTCCGAACCACCCTCTCCGGATGCCCTGCACCAGGAAAACCCAAGGCCACGCTCTGTCTACCTTACTCCTGGACCGCGCCATGTTGTCCGCGCGCGGGTGCCGCAGCCGCCTCTTCCGGGCAGGAACCCCGCGCACCGCTGCAAAGGTCCGGCAGAGTCGGAGGCAGGGCGTCGTAAAAAGGGCCGCAACTCAAGGAGCCTGGAAGAGGCGGGGAAACTGTGCGCTGACGCTCAGAGCATGCGCAGATACTTTGCGTCCTGCCTTGGTGAGGCGCTTGGGGACCTGGAGCTGCTCAGGTCTTTAGAATTAGGTAAAGATGAATCGCTGCTCTCAAAGATTCGCTTCCCTTTGCCGTTATTGAGAGTAATCCCTGCAGCAGTTAGTGTCAGAGTTCTGGAGTTCGAGTTCTTTGGGTAGGAGTATGAATCCAGAAAATCACCTAGCTTCTCTAAAAGCCTGTTGTGGGCGTTTTTGGTTTTGGTTTTGTTTTGTTTTGTTTTTCAAAAAGGGGCTAATGAAAGAGTAAACAGATGCGATGACTTTGGAACCAACTACTGAAGGAAGATTTCCAGGCAATCAGGAGTGGGATTGACTCCTTTCTTTGCAGAGGAAATGGGACGTGCACAGGCCAGGAAGCAGGACATAGCACTCGCTAAGGATTTCCCAATAGTCTGAAGTGTTGCCGGCTTGGAAGGGAGGAGGTGAGGTTTAATTCCAAAAGCAAATCCAGGGAGGTGTTCTAGATCTGGGGGCTATCAGTCACAGTGCCTGACATGCTCACTGCCCCTTTCAAAAGAAAGTGCCCAGCTTGCTTTAGCCTTGCACAGAAACAGCGATCTTCTATACCGAATGACCAACTAGCTGAGAGGTGATTGCACGAAGGGTCCGGCAATCTGCACAGTAGCTGCAAACTTATGTCCAAACCGGGGAATCAAATCCAACCAGATTCTCTCCCTCTTGCAGATGGGCCTGGGATAAGCAGAAACTGAAGCTGAAAAGATAAGGATACCATGAGGAAGGAGGGGCCTGGAGGGAGACAGTGTTGTCCACTGGTGCCAGTGGAGTCAGACATTTTCAGAGCATGCTCATAGAACTGGGGAGGCTCTTCATGATGAGAACAAAGGCAAAAAAGATGTAAGTAAAATTAAATTTCCTTACAACTTGCAGGCCATTAACAAATACTTGAGACAGGCAGAGGATGACATTCCTCAAGGAACTCACAACTGCCTTAATGTCAATGCTGTGATAGAGGCAAAAAGCAACTGTAGCTTGACAATAGCCAGACCTCTAAGATCCTGTAAGTCATCTTTAATATATGAAAATCCATTTTAGAATCTTCCTTTGTCTTCACCCACCTACCCCCCAACTTAAAAGTATATAACCAGTTGCTCCTCACCATCCCAAGCTTTTTCTGCCCACACGTCTGGTCCTTGTGTTTTAATAAAAACGTTTTTTAATGAAAACAATAAAAACATTTTTTAATTAAAAAAATGTTGATCATGTGTTCACAGCCCATGTCACATCACTTCAAGCTTTTGGTTCAAACCCAAGGGGTTCTTTTAAAACTCAAATATTTAAAAAATTTTTTCTATGTAACAAGTAGATAGAATTACTGGAAATTCACTATGGTGAAGGAAATTTGTAACCTTCATGTTGATGAGAGAAAAACTCTCGAAAGGCCTGATAGACAAAGAAAGCCATTCTAGGTTTCTTACTAAGTCAGCATGACTGTACGTAACCTGATTTATGGGCTGCCACATGTACATCATACATCTGCTTTGTGGATGACGGAACCCATCTTGTCCTTGAGTTATCGATCAATACTCGTACTCCCTGCATCCCTTTGCGTTTAAGCTGGTGATTCGTGCCTTACAGTACATAACCCTGTAAAAACTTCATTCTCCAAAGAGCATGAATCTCTGTAAAAACTTCATTCTCCAAAGAGCATGTCATCACTTGGGCTTGAATAAAAGTCTCTTACTTTTAGAGATTCTAAAAGGTTTGTTCATTTTGTGTCAACAATGTCTGTGCTTTTGTCTTGCATGTCGTTTCTAGTTCTTCTCTTTTCTCTTCCTCTTCCTCCCTCTTCCCCACTCTCTCACACCCACACATTCTCCAGTACAGGTTCCTTTCCTGGGAGGAATAAGAGATTCTAGTACTTCTGCTTGTTTGCATCTTAAAAGGGGGGGGGGGGGGGGGGAATTATGTCATCCACGAAGCTGTTGCAACGGATGGCCATCAAGGGCACAAGGAAACTTTTAGGTCATCTAAACTTTTTAAAAGTTAGCATCTTGTTATATTGAAAATCCTGGAGGGGTGCCTGGGTGGCTCAGTCAGTTAAGCATGAAACTCTTGGTTTCGGCTCAGGTCATGATCTCATGTTGAGTCTGAGCCCTGCCTCAGGCTCTGTGCTAACAGCGCAGAGCCTATGTGGGATTCTTTCTCTCCCTCACTTTCTGCCCCTCCACTACTCATTCTCTCTCTCTCTCTCTCTCTCTCTCTCTCTCTCTCTCAAAATGAATAAATAAATTTAAAAAAAAAATGAAAATCCTGGGGCGCCTGGGTGGCGCAGTCGGTTAAGCGTCCGACTTCAGCCAGGTCACGATCTCACGGTCCGTGAGTTCGAGCCCCGCGTCAGGCTCTGGGCTGATGGCTCAGAGCCTGGAGCCTGTTTCCGATTCTGTGTCTCCTTCTCTCTCTGCCCCTCCCCCGTTCATGCTCTGTCTCTCTCTGTCCCAAAAATAAATAAACGTTAAAAAAAAAAAAATGAAAATCCTGCAGAATAAGGGTTTTATGCCCCCTTGGACTTGAACTGACATGAAAGTATTGCTTAATGTCAATAGACAAGATGGTTTAGAAATAGCAATATCATCATGCTGGATTAATTATAGTTTACCCAGCTCAGTGTATTATGGCTGCAAAGCAGTTGGAAAGCATAGTCTTCCTTCCTGATATTCACCATGAAGATTGAATAACTATGAGCTAACAGAATGTTCCTGTATGGTATTTATTCTCTAGGTATTTGCTGACAGCAAAGATGAGATCGCTTTAGATCTGTTTAAGTTTTCCTGCCTCTAGTCTAGGCTTTTACAAACCTTGTTAGAGCCCTTTTTGAATGATTTCAGTTTATAAGCCCATTTCTTTCACTAGGTTGTGAGCCTAACTAGGATGAAGGCCATGTCCTCTTCATCTAAGAATCCCTTGAACCTCACCTTCACCCCATCTTCCTCCATGCCACCATGGCCACTATACCCTAGTCCTAATCATGATTGTGTTTGGCCTTGGCCATTGGTTTCCCTCATCCCAGAAAAATGTGACAAGTGTGGTTGCAACTTCCTAATGGAGGCTTAGGTAAATCCCCTTAAATTAGTGGAAAGATTCAAGATATAAGGATCCATATGAAGATGGTTATACATATATAGGACAGCTACCACACTCATCCGTTTTCTGCAGGCTGAAGCACTCAAAGCCATTTTAGAGACATTCAAAGGCTATGTGAACAAATGTTAATTAGATTTTATTTTTATTTTCTTTGTCTTCATTTCAATTTTTTACATTTCTGCAAAAGCACTGGAGAGCACCAAGTTTATTTTCAAAAATGCTGGACAAAGTTTTGTTTCGTTTCGTGTGAAGCTAAGTTTTTGTCGTTGTTTTCAAAAGGGGTTCTTCTGAAGGTGGCATTCGCCATACATTAGGCAAATGTCCCGGGCCTTCCATGAGAGGGCACTACTGACTCATCTGGTTTGATTCACGGCAGGTCTTTCCACAGTTTCTTCCTGAGACATGAACAAGAAATGGGCACCAGCTGTTCTTGTGAGGATCCAAACCTCCAAAATCTGCTTGACCTCTTGGGATTCAATTCTTTGAAATTAGAAAGACACCCTCAAGAATAAATTTAAAAGGAAAAAAAAAAGTTTGGGGCACCCGGGTGGCTCAGTTGGTCCAACTGAGCGTCCAACTCTTGATTTTGGCTCAGGTCATTATCTCAAGGTTCGTGGGTCCAAGCCCCCAGTGTTTGGGCTCTGTGCTGACAATGCAGAGCCTGCTTGGGATTCTCTCTCTCTCCCTCTGGCTCTGCCCCTCCCATGCACTCCCTCTCTCTCTCCCTCTCTCTCCCTCTCTCTCCCTCTCTCTCAAAATAAATAAATAACCTTAAAAAAAGGAAAAAAGGTTCAGATTCTATCAAACTGCATTCATCTGGCTTACACCCCCTAGTGGCCAGGAAGACACAAGCTTCACAGTGGAAAGCCACTGTTCCTTAAACTCCAGAAAGGTCTGAGTGAGTGAGGCTGTAAGTGAGGTCTTGCCAAAAGACAAAAAGCTAACTCTGTCTTCTACATGCTTAGGGCTACTGATCCCTGTTGGGGGAAGTTTTCAATCCCTCCCTACACAATCGTTAATATGTAGATTAGATTAAATATCACTGCCCAGTCCTGCCTTCACTACCAGGAAAAAAGTTATGCTACCAATTGCATTCAACTGTTCACTCTTCCTTCCTAAAAACCCTGAAACCACATGACATTACAGACTAATTGCAAAGTACATGAGCTGCTAATATCTATTTATAGCATATACATAGTATATATAGCTAGTATCTATGTATAAATTCTCTGTGTAACATTCAGGCCTAAATAAATAAATAAATAAATAAATAAATAAATAAATAAATAAAACTATATTAGCACGTTGGGATCTGGATATATTTAAGTAATTACTGTGAGGCAGAGATTCTTTCATGCCTGCCAAAATAGCCATGTTTCTTTTTTTGCTTAAATTAGCAGAACCCAAAAATTTAGCCTAGAATATAGCTGCCCAACCAAAAGACATTTCCCAGTCTCTTGCGCTTGTGAGGTCATGTGACTAAGGTCTGGCCAATAAGATCCAAGAACTGTTGAGTGACACTTCTGGGAAGTCTCCTTAAACAGGGAAGGTAGGCACTTTGCCCTTTCCTCTGCCCTGCCAGAAAGGTGGGTGTGATGGCCGGAGCTGGAGTCAGCACAGAGGTGTTGAAGACAAAGACAAAGAGGGCTACCTCCTACTAATGGTAGGGGAATAAAGCCTGGGATTTGGATGACTTCATCAGGTCCCCTGATGGTCTGCCTCCAGACTTCTGCACAAGAAATAAAGAACCTTCCATCTTATTTGAACTACGGATATTTTAGGGTTTTAATCATATGCCACTAAATCAAAATCTAAGTGATACACACAGATCTTTACTACACTATCCCTGCTACACTGTGGTAGCCCTGCTTCCTGTTTCTCTCCATCCTACTTCTTTTTGGTGAACTTGGTCTCCCTGGCGCCTCCCTTTTCACCCTGTCACCTTTAGTCACATACTCCCCTGGGTTCCAGGCACCAGTATCTTCAAGCTCCTGAACTTACACACAACTAAGCTTCCTGTCCCAGATAAATGGTCATTTTAGAGCAAGGAATGAGAAGAATTCACCCATGGCTGGATTGCTTTGGCATAAATTGCTTTTCTGTTCCCTGCTCTCCTGGAACCATCAAGATGGTAGGACAGAAGAGTGTGGGCTAGGATTTTCCAGAACTGAGAGGGGTAGGGGGCTAATGTAAAGAACAAATCTTCTGGAATTGGAAGATGATATATAGGCTATTGGGACCACAGAAGGAAATAAGTTCTTGGAAGTTTAGACAGTGGAAGTTTCTACTTCCTGGGTGGAGTCCTTGTTGGAGAGAGTGCCTGAGATATTGTCAGATTCAAGCAACTCTACGATGCTGTAGGGAGAACAGTCCTCCAGGCCCAGCTTGCTGCAGAGCCAGCCACAGAAGCCTTTCTCCATGTCCCGGGCAGCTTGCCACCATGCTCCCCAGGACCATGAGAGCTGGACCACAGCAGCATAGAGGCCCAGGGAAGAGGCCATGGCCATGATGAGCACTGGATAGAAGAGAATGAGGCAGGGGCAACATGAGATCTTGTGCCAGAAGGTCCTCTCCTCGTTGTACACGAGGAAGATGTTGTACCAGGTGATCGTGCCATAGTAGAACGAGACAACAAAAGAGAGGATAAAGACTACAGGCAGGCAGACCAGTGTCCAAAGGACCACATGGGGCCCACGGTCAACTCCCATTTGGCAGGCCTTTCTGTCTTCAGGTGTTACTTCTCTTGATGACCC